ATTTTTTCTCAACCAAATCCAAATCATACCAAACTCCATCTTCTTTGCTATATAAGACTTGATGAATTGAATCAGTCAGATTCTGTGCCATTTCTTGATAATATTTTGCTTTTCTGATTTTTTGTAAATTAAATTTATATTTTAATAAATTTTGTCGGAATTTTTTTTGGACGTTAGCAAAGCTTATTAGAAATAATGGAGGCAATGTTCTGATTTTTTATAAATTTAAGGTGATTCTTTATTAATTTTCACATAACTTTTTATAAAAACTTTGTTAACATGACTAAAGAATCAAATAATTTTTTAAAATTGACACTCGTTATATTTGTTATAAATACTCGGTGTCGAAAACTTCCAAGGGACCATTCACTATTTAATTTACTTACTCATTCTGTCCAATTTCTTTACTTAAATTAGCCATTGTCCAATAATTCATAGCAATAAAAACATTTAAATCTACAGGCAAAACTTTATTTGTTGAAGTCCTAACTCTACTCATTTCATTTCCCCCTCCTCCTTCCACCCTTACATTTTCTGTATTATTCTTCCAATTATACCAACGAGAAGAAAAGTCAATTCCAGATTCACAAGCACTTGCTGTTGAAGACCAAAAGAATAAAGGCTGTTTACTTTGAATTCCAAGTTGATAATCTTCCAAAAAATTTTCTGAACGAGGACAATTTGTTTTTGTCTAAATTTGAATATTCAAAGATTTTTTTAAAAAGTTATTTTTTCCCCACCTTATATTGAAACATTAAATAATTTTTCTCTTTAAATTCAAAAATAATTGAACGATTCTGATTCCACCATTTAAGCTCTTTTTCGGCTAGAGGTAAAAATTCTTGAAGAAAACTTTTATTTTTTGTTATGTCAAAATAATCTTTAATCATTTGAGTAAAAAATGGAGGTTGGCTTCTTCTCGATAATCTTTTTTGTTTGAGAAAAAAATTAAATTTTTAAATTTAAGAAAGTAATTACTGAATATTTCCTGAATTTGGAATAAATCCATGATAATTTAATATATGAGCAAAATTTTTTAAAACACCATAAGAGGTTTCAATCAAATTTGAAAAGTAAAGACCTTAAATTATTTTTAAATTATATAAAAAAATTTTCTGTTTAAAGTTATTCTGATTATATGAGACCCTTTTAAATATAGTAGCAACCCGAAACCCCGACCCTAACAATTTTTTGTCAAAACCCCGACCCGAGCCTCGAACTACACCGAATTTCGATGGTATGGGGTTGTTACCCTACTTTTAAAAAACCGATTTTCTTTGTATACCTAATAATTATCTTTATTTTTATTTAAAAGTACCTTTCAATATCCAGTAAGTATCCCAATAAAAGAAAACTTTAAAGAAACCACCAGGTACTAAAAATCTGTTTGGAACAGAAAGAACAGGGTAAAAATGTTGATTTTTGTGAACATCATCAATGAATTCTCGTGAAAGTAAAGGCCAAATTTGATGTAAAGCAACAGCAAATTTTCTTTATTTTTAAATTAATTAATTAAAAATTAAAATTATCTATTTAATTACTTCCATTTAGGGTCATTAATTAATTCAAAATTTTTAGGATTTGGTTGCCAATCAGTCAAATTGGAAGGTTTTATATAATCTGTATTTGCAAAATTTTCTTCACAAAATTGCATAAAATCTCCTTTTTTGATTACTTTTCCTCGAATAATTCTTTAAAAATAATTTAAATTATTTTTAATTTAAATAATTAAATGTTGAGTTATTTAAAATATTTAAATGTGTAGAAATGTTCAAAACTAAAAATTTTCTGAGAGAAAAAATATATAATTAATAAACTAAATTCTAAGTGAACTAAGGAAATTTTCAGCAATTAACTCCCGTTTATAAGCCCATCAGAAGATTATTCAAATTAATTTCTTAACAAATATTTTGGAGATACCATAAAATTCTATATGTCTCTTAACAAATATAGATTACAAACTTGCGGAAATTTTTAAGAATTTCATTTGGTTCAAGAAGAAGTTTTGTGCCAGGGCATTGATGTTGTACTCCAAAATACCAAGCCGAACTAATTAAAGGACCTGAACAATAAATTGGGGCTAAAGGCCCTTCACAAATTGGTTCTGAACAATTTGTAATAAATCCAGGGGAAGGCTGTTGATAATTATTTGTTTCTTTTATTGTAAATTGCTGAGGGAAAATATTTTGTTTTGAAATATATTTTTCAAATAAATTATAATTAATTTTATTATTATTATTTTTGTGGAGGGTATTAACAGGGAATATTAAAAGAATATTTAAATGTAAAAATAATAATAAAAAATAATTAAAAAATATTTTTATTTGAGACATTTTTTTGAAATAAATTAGAGATAATAATTTCTATATTTTTAGGGAAAACAAATTAATTATTACGGGGTTCTTTGATAAAATTGATAAGAAAGTTAAATAAAAACTGTGTGGACTTTAATTGTAGAGAAAAAGGAAGTTTTTCCATTAAAAATATTTTTACACGAATTTGCTTTGACATTTAAAATTTTTTGAACAAAAAATGAGGGAAAAAGCCCCTTCGATTGAGGCATACCTTTGCGTCATAAATTTAGGAAAATGATTGGGAAAATATTCCAGATGAGGAATGTTTCCCCAATTTTTTTGGTCAATCCTAATGTTTTTATGTTTAATGAGAGACGACTTAGTCACATTTTTTATAACAAATGTAGCTGAATCCCAACAATTTTTTTAAATTTAAAAATGTACCTTTTCCTCAATACTAACAAATTGTAAAGTAAATTCATTATTATTATTTCCCAAATAATTAATGTAAACTTGCTTAATTTCAGATTTTGTTGTAAAAATTCCAAATTCTTTTCCATTTTTCCATTTCAAAAAATTAATTAAAGCAAAAATAAAAATTAAAATAAAAATAAATCCTAAAATAATATAGAATAATAGCCAATGTTTTTTTCGTAAATTTATTGGCTGAATATGCATATAATGATGACCTTAAATGTTTGAAAAAATTAAAATATGAAATTATTTAAGGGCGTGTTAATTAAATTATTTTTCCAGTTTTTGAGGAAAAACATGAAAAATTTATTAATTTATCCGTTTTTTCCTCTTACAAATTAATAAAAACCCGTTCTTTAATTGAGGAAATTGTGAAGAACCCCGTTTAAATAATTTAATTAACTCTTTTCCAGTTAATTACTTCCTCAACACTATTTTAGTTAATTTAATACTTTTTTTAAATAAAAATTTTTCTTATGAAAAATTTAAATAAATTTATATATTTAAGAGGGGAGAATGATAGAAAATCAATTTAAAATTTATATGACGTGGATATTTAAAATAAAAAAACTTAACATTTTTTTGTTTTTCGCTGAATATTGTTGTTGGCTATTAAAAATAAATCGAAGAATTTTTAGTAAGATCAAAAACATTTACGTAAAATTAAAGAATAAAATTAAAAAAATAAATAAAAATAAATTTAAATAAAAAAGCAATTCACAAAAAATTGTTGTCGAAATTTGCTTCTGTAAAACTGAAATGGAGATTGATAATTAAATAAATAAATAGCTAATTGTTAGAATATATTATGCTTTTGGAACAAAACAGATCCCGAAACCGTAAATTTATTTTTCATGACAGCTACAGTGGCGGAAATTTAAATAGGGAAAAATATTTTTAATTTTATTTCTGAAAATTATTAAGCTAATCATTTATCGCGGACCTACACTTTTATATAGTTTTGTAGCTTTGTTTATAAGCTATCAAATGACTACAAATCATTAAAAGAAAAGTTTTCACTTAAGCTTAAAAAAACATTTATCTATGTTAACCTTAAAAAGTGCGCGGAAATTTAAATAGGGAAAATTTTTATACATAAATTTTTATGGAAAATCAAAATAGAAAAAATTTGAAAAAATTTCTTAGACCTTCTCTAGCGATATGATAAAGAATGGCAAAAAATCTTAATTTTAACCCAGCTCCATCATCGACATCTCGAGGTCCAAAATCAACAAAAATGAGGGTGATTTGGAGGTGATCTGATTTAAAAAAGTTCAGCGCATCTGACACAGATAAAATTTTTCTTTTTTGATAATCTTAGAGCCCATAAAGTTTGCTACAAAATAGGCTTTATATCATTTCTTCAAAAAATTTTTTCCTCGAGATGAATACCGAAGATTTTATAGTTATGAAATTTATGACTGATTTAACACATTTTTCCCAAAATTAAAAGGTTTCAGCCTATATCTCGAGGAAATTATTTTTTGAAGAAATGATATAAAGCCTATTTTGTAGCAAACTTTATGGGCTCTAAGATTATCAAAAGAGAAAAATTTTATCTGTGTCAGATGCGCTGAACTTTTTTAAATCAGATCACCTCCAAATCACCCTCATTTTTGTTGATTTTGGACCTCGAGATGTCGATGATGGAGCTGGGTTAAAATTAAGATTTTTTGCCATTCTTTATCATATCGCTAGAGAAGGTCTAAGAAATTTTTTCAAATTTTTTCTATTTTGATTTTCCATAAAAATTTATGTATAAAAATTTTCCCTATTTAAATTTCCGCGCACTTTTTAAGGTTAACATAGATAAATGTTTTTTTAAGCTTAAGTGAAAACTTTTCTTTTAATGATTTGTAGTCATTTGATAGCTTATAAACAAAGCTACAAAACTATATAAAAGTGTAGGTCCGAGATAAATGATTAGCTTAATAATTTTCAGAAATAAAATTAAAAATATTTTTCCCTATTTAAATTTCCGCCACTGTAGATCCCTGATATATGTACGTACATACATACTAATAATATTTATTTCATTAATTATATGTATTTTTCTGCCAGCTTTAATTTTTTATATATCCAACATTAATTCTTGTTTGCCATATAATTATTGTTTGCTATATAATAAATATTGACTATTTTGCTATCTTTATTTTTCTACATATTTATTTATTTTCCTCATTCTTTCCTTTTGATCATAAATACACTTACTATAAATATAAAAAATAATTCTTGTTCAAGATTAATTTTATATTAATGAATATTATTATTCCAATTAATTTTTCTTATTTATTTTTCAATTTATTTCTCCTTCTAAATTATATTAATTGTTTAAATATTTTACAAATTGTGCCGGGCTTCACAAATTCTCATGTTTTATTTAATTATAGACTTGAGGAAGAACTGACTAAATTAGGGCATTCTGTTGTTTTATGGACACAAATGGAAATGAATATGGTGTAGGTTATTCTCTTAAATTGAGAGAAGAATTATTGTTATAAATAAAATGGAAGTTTGTAGGGATAGGGTTATAATAAATAGATTATGGATGTCTCAAGACGTTAAATAATCCTTCTCTTATTTCAGTTTTACAGGAGACTTTAAATTGCCAGATGGTGTTAACGAGTAAGTTTATATTAAATATTGGTATTGTTTTTAGTATATTATAATATTATAGAATTCGTGAGTCTATTCAATTCAAGGATAAATTGAAAGTTGAGGGATTAAAGGTATTTATATAATAATTTACTTAGTAGGTATAATCGTTTTGACATCTACAAAATAAATATGTATACATATTTGAGAATGATTAACACACAATTTTAAGCTATTTTCAATGCCTTACTACTTTTAATTGCTAAAGCCCTCTATTTGTTACTTCCGTTATTTTAAACATGAGAGATATACATATAAACATTTAAATAAAGTTTATAAATTTTTATTATAAAGGTATTTCAAGAAATGATTTTCCAGAGTGGTACTCCTTATGAACTTTGGTGGACCGGCAGAGAATTTAAAGTATTAACAAATAAGACTTGTCAAAATTATAAGAAATTGTCAGGAAATGCGTTTAGAAGCATGTGAACAAATGCTTGGAGAAGGACGTGCAAAATTGCTTTCCTCTGTAAAATACCAAAAATTTGATTTGGCAATTGGGCATTTTCATGATTTGTTTGTTGTTTTTAATGACAAAGAATTATTATCTAAATTTTGTTAAAGTTGTCCAGTAGCTATGGCTCGTTCTGTGGGAGTTTATAGAGTAAATTATAAGTATAAAATGATAAAAGACAATTTATTTTATTTTTCACAGATAATTTGGATCACTCATGGCCCTTCTCTTTATGATTTTACTTCTTTATCTGTAATCCTCCCTTCCAACGTTTAATTTAAATATTCATATTTTCAGTTTGGTCTACGAACATTTCCTTCATTTGTTCCACACCCTCTTTCCTTCAATTCAGACAGAATGGTTTGAATATTTATTTTGGAATTAAAGTTTTATTTTAAGAATTTTTTACAACGTTTAATTAATGTAATTTGGCATTTTTCTGGTATAGAATTTGTAAATCTTCCAAATGGTTTTATCATTTAAGATATTTTAACTATATATTTTTTCAGTTTTACTTCATGAAGAGAATTCCTTATACAAAAAATGTTTTTTCGAAATTATATTTTAAAAATTTAAATATTTTTAAAAGTTTTTCCAAAATCTAAAAATCTTTGGACTATTGGTCAACAAGTTTCTGTTCTTTTATTAAATGGAGAACGTTTCCTAGACTTTCCGAGGCCATTACCTACATTTATTTTAAATTTGGGTTCACTAGCTTCTAAACAACAAAAGTTAAACAAATTAAGTTTGGATCCAGAAATCGAGTATATTTATTCGAAGAAGGAAAGTAAAGGTTGGTTAAGTAGATATGTATGTATGTAGGTTCCCCTCAGAATATCAATGGGATATATTTATTAACACATAGATAGAGTACCTTAGTTGAGTTATTCCTTCGTGTGTATTTTTAACGAGAGTAAAACAATCCTTATTTTAGGTGTTGTCATCTTTTCAATGGTTTCTATTTTGTGTTTTACATTATAATTAAAACTGGAATTTTTAGTCAATTAAAAACTACAAATAGTTGGGTAAAATAATCACAAAAATCCAAAAAAAACTTCCTTTAACTAAAAATTCCATCCTTAATTACAATTAACTTTTGGCTATTAATAAAAGGGAACAGTATCAAACACAACAAATATGCCTTTGCGAATGACCAAAAGTTTTTTGAATGCTTTTGGTCGAATTTCTGAATATGATTTTTTGTGGAAGACTGAACAAACAGAAATTGAAGGGATTGAGGGATTTAAGAATGTACATTTACGTCGATGGATTAATCAAAAAGAATTAATTAGTTTGTTAATTAATTGTTTAAATCTCCCTCACAAAGTAACAAATATTTTAGGAGATTTTCTATCTGATTTAAGGAAATTTTTTATTCGGGCAGTTCATAATTATCGAGTAAATCTTCGGGTATTTTTTGAATTGTGAATTTGTTAATTTGGGATACATTTTTGTTTAAATCCGTTATTATTAGGAAGACTTTAGAAAGTTAAATTAATTTCTCTAAATTAATCTCTCTCTTTTCAAAAAGAACATCCAAAAACTCGTCTTTTATTTGCCCATGGAGGTTATAGCAGTTTTCTTGAAGCCGCAAAGGCAGGAATTCCTATTTTGCTTGTCCCTCTCTTCGCCGATCAAGGCATTAATGCAAAACGAGCACAACGTTTTGGGATATGTGAAATTCTTGACAAAAAAACTTTAAATGATAAAATTGTTGAAGAATTACTTCGAAAAATACTTAATGATGAGCGGTTAAAAATTTTTGTATTTTTGTTATTTATTAAAATATTTTTTCAGTTATTATAGAAATGCACGCAAACTTTCGGTATTTTAAAATAATTAATTGTTTAAGGAATATTCACATAAATTCTATTTTTCTAGGCAATGCTTGCAGACAACCCCCTTTCTTCCTTTTCAATGCCTTCCTTAGAATATGGTTTAAGGTTGGCAGTATCATCAAAACCCGATTATTTTTCTCTCAAATCAGCCCAAAAACTTGGATTTTTGGAACATTTTAATTTTGATTTAATAATTATTATTTTTATTTTAATTAATTTTTTGACTTTTTGAGATTAATTTACAAAAAAATATAATTAACAAAAATTATTTTGTAAGAAATATTTAGTAATATGTATTTACAATTTAAATTACAAATAAATATTTAATTTAAATTTACATTTTTGTTCTCTCTTTCAATAATTCATTTTGCTTATCATTTCAGTTAATTTTAGGACTGAGCAATTCCTTCGGGTCTAATCTTGTTTCTAACGAGTCGGTTACTGAATAAATTTTTTTATTTTTAATAAAAGATCTTGTGATAAAATTGTTCTTTAGGGGTTATTTTGCCAACAATATTTTGTAATTTTCCCCTCTTGAAAAGTTAATAATTGGCAGACTTGCTTCCTTCTTTAATTTCATTTTATTTTTTTATGGCATTCATTTACTCAATAAAATTAGAAATTTGACACATAAAAAATAAAAGAAATATCTTTATAAAATAAAACAAACAAAAATTTTATATTTCCCATCTAAATGAAAAATCCTTGCAAATAATTTCTGATTTGCAGGGATTTTCTTTTTCTAATCCTTTATTGAGTAATTAAATGTCATAGGAAAATAAAATAAAATCGAGGAAGAAAGTTCGCTTTTTGAGAAAGGATAACAAAAAATAACCGGCATAACGGAAAATACTTTTTTATATTTATGTGGATCGAAATTGTGAGTTTATTTTTTTTGAGAGGGATTTTTACTTTTAGGCATTTACATATCCTTCCATTTTTTAGATAAAAAATTGTTCTTTTTGTTTTCTAAGCCGAAATTTAAATATTTAAAAAATCAAAACCTAATTGGTCGATTTTTGGCCCCAAAGAAAGTGAAAGAACAACCAAAACGATAGCAAGTACCTTAAATATTTAATTAATTTAACGTCCATTTTGATCTTTCTAAAACTTTTTAAACTTAAGAACTAATATTTTCTTTTTTTTATTAGAGCCAGAACTCTTCAAAAAAAATTTTTTTTGGTATAACCAATGTGTAGCGAAGTCACCTACATAATAGAACAATTTAAGTTTTTCAAGGGAATTTGGTCATAATTTTGTTTAGAATGATCGTATTAATTTAAGCTTGGTTCAGATATACAATAAATAACAATAAATTTCACGTTTTTTAAGCTCGAAAAAAAGTTATAGTGAAAACAAAAAGTGTTCTATATTTTATAAAAATTAAAATTAAATACAAACCGTTAAAAGAACTGTTACAAAAATAATTACACGTTTAAGAATTAAATTATTTTCATTTATTGTTGTTGGAATTTTATCCATAAAATAAATACCGTATATACTGTATTTATTACCCTCCCTCAAATAATTACCCCACCTGCTTTTATTACCCCCTCCAGAGAGAGATCGAAACAATAATTACCCTCCCTCGAATAATTACCCCCTATTTTTCCTACTCTAATTTCAATATTTATTAAAAAATCATTATCAATTTCAATAATAGAATGTTTTAAGGATCAATGTAAAAAATAAATCAAGAGATAAAAGTATTTGGAGAGGATATCGCGGAATTTATGAGAATTAAGGGAGATTAAGAGGATTTGGGATCTCCGAGAAAATTCCTCAAATCTATCTAAATTAACCTTTTATTTTTTAAGCATTATTGGATTAATATCGAAAAATAATTTCTTCTTCAATTGTATTAAAGAAATTATACTGACTCTTCTCCTTCATATTCGGCATCGGCCTCTAATTCGTATTTTCGATTGATTAGGTGACTTTTTATATCAGAAGACGGAATTATTGTTGGTATGGCCCCACTTTTAGAAATTATATTTAGAGAATGTAGGGTATATCCCCTAAATAGGAATCATACATACTTGTATACCTCTCAGGTGTCTTTATATATCCCAGGAAGGAAGCATTGGTGTTATTGTACCATCTTGGGGTACATTACATATGAAAATATTAAGGGACTATATTTAGAATATCTCTAAAAATCTAATATTTATCTCTAAATTCGATAACATATTGTATATCACTGTTCATATCTATGAATAAATTAAAAAATTTACAGGTCGAAATAATAATTACCCTCCCTCAAATAATTACCCCGCCTGCTTTTATTACCCCCTCCAGCGAGAGATCGAAACAATAATTACCCAGGGTAATTAATACAGTATATACGGTAAAGATAATTATTGTGTGAACAATTTATTTTAAATTTTTATGAGTAAAGAATTTTTTTAAGCTAAATAAAAAAATTCAAAAAAATTTTCTCAGAATATTTAGTAAATTAAATTTTTTATAAATAAATTTGCTTGTTTATGTCAGAACTTTTTTTCTTTGCATATATGTGCCAGTTGAATAACTCAAAAGCTCTACACAAATATGCAGAATTTATGTATGAACTTTACATTTAAAGTTTCCGCTCTTGAATTTTAAAGTTTTTTACGGTTGATTTAAATATAGAAAAAGGTTAATGCTTAAAAGGAAGAGCACAAGAAAATATAAATTGAGGTAAGAGGAGTGAGTGAGTATTTGATAAATACATTATTTATGGAAAAGAGGGGAAAAGTGTCTGAGTAAAAATAAAATTAAATTAGAAATTGACAGAAAAGTAGTAAATATTTTTATTTATTTATTTGCCAGCTTCTTTAAACAAATTTCATTAGCTTTCTTTATGTTTATTCGAGAGGAAAAGCGCCGCTTTTAAGAAAAATAAGAGAGGAAAGTTAGCTTTGTTAAAAATTAAATTTCTTTCTCTTTTTTCTTCTCTTATATTTACTAGTTCTTATAAATTATTTAAAGGTTATGGCATCAGTATGGATGTCTTATCTTCTGTCTAAACACGCTACGTTGACTTTTTTGGAATTTGTAGTTTAATTACAATAAAAATATTTCAAAAAATTTTTTATTTTTAATGTTCACACAAATTACATTTACAGTTAACGAACAAAAATAAGCATATAGGGAACAATAGCAACAACAATACCTAATTTAGAATATCTTTATATTTTATTTATTTATCATCTCCTATCCTATCTTCCTTCCTCTTTCTGCCTTCTTTTGTTTATGGCTTTTTCGACGATGGGCCAGCACAGTACGCAGACACATTGCAGATACTTCCAATCAAGAGGAAACTTTAAAAAAGAAAAGAAAATTATTTCTTCCTTAAAAATATCTCAAAACTTACGTTCCCAACACCGCTCCAAACCCAACAAATCCAGAGATGGCATAGTGCTTAGTTTGGAACTCGCAGTCATCGGCAGAGACAAGTTGAAGGAGAATAGCAATAGTGACCACAACCATTAGGGACACAAACTTTCCTTGCACCATTGTAGTAGATTCCCTTTTGTTGTTGTCGTCGTTGAGCGAATAGAGAATACAGCAGCACTTATACTTTTGAGGCTTTGGATTAATTAGATACGCTTTTATAGTTTTTGTAAGCTTGCAGTTTTATAACACTGGAGAACTTCCTCACCGTCAAACGGGGAAGGTGTTAATTTCTCCAAAATATAGGTAATAGGTAACTCAAATTAAAAATAAAATTAATAGTTTTGAGCATCGAGTAGTTCAATAACCTAGTAGCTCAACAATGTTCAGCATCGACTAGACAAGCTAAGCCAAAACTTGTTCGATCATGGTGATTCTGTTTCGTTCTACTATATTAAAATTATTTTTTATTTTTTTTCAATAAAAATAAAATTTATTTATTTGATTTTTTTTAAATATTCACAATCAGTTTTTAATAAAAATTCATTTTTTAAAAATGTGAACGAAATATAAAAATTTATAGAAAAATTTTTAAAATAAATAAAATGAAATCATTTTATTGTCAAATAAATAATTCTTAATTTAAAAATTCGGAAAGTTTATAGTCAAATAAAATCAGAATTTATAAAATTAAATTTAGAAAATCAGAATTTTTTTTTAATTTCAGAAAATAAACTTTAAATGACAAATATCAAAATTATTCTATTTTTGATATTTAATTTAATATTAATTATTAAAATAAATGGAATTGAGGAAAAAGAAAATTCTCTTAAAAATTTAGACGGAAAATATTTTTATTATGAAGTAAATTTAAATTAATTTTTTTAATTATTATTTTAGACTGATATACCATCTAAACGATCTAAACGATCACAAAAAGTATACAAAAAAGCTGAAAGAGAGTATCGAATTAGAGGTTTAATAATTTTTAAAAATAATTTAACAAATAATTTTAATAAAGATATGAGCAGTTCACAGTGGCAACAACGGCAACGCGGCAAAAAAGTACCTAAAACTGTTTGGGATCCATAAAATAATTAATTAATGATTACAAAATATAATTATTAAAATTTATTTAAAAATATAAATGAATAAATTTATTTGGAATATTTGTGTGTGTTATTATTTTTGGGTAATCATGTAAAAAATTAAGAAATAAAAGGATTTAAATTTATATGAGTCTAAAATCTAAAATTAAATCTAATTACGAAATTTACCAAAAATTGTTTGTTAAAATTAGATTCTTTCAAAATTAAAAAACCTTCCGACTATGTTCTTTCTTTTTCTTTAAATTCCTTTAAAATTTCTTTGAATTATCTTTGGAGAAACTCCAAAAATTCTACTTGACATGTACACATATTAATACAAAAATTTTGTTCTTATTTTCTGTCTAATAAGAAGACAGAAAACTAAATTTTATTAAAATACCTTATTTTAACCCAAAAATATTTTTGACATTTTCAATTTTTAATTTTTATTTATTTGCTTTTTCACTTTTATTTGATATATTTTTTAATTTATGCGAGCGATGGAATCAAATTAATGCAAATAAAAAAAATAAATTTTAAAAAGCATCCAAATCATTTTTTAAAAATTATTTAAAATGGAATTTATTTATTTTAAAATATTTTTAACAAAAATAATATTTTTTGTTTTAATTAATTTTACATTAGAACAAAAAGAAATTAACAATATATCGACACCGGTAATTTTAAAAATTAATTTTGATTTCTAATTAATTTTTAAATTTAAATTTAAGTCACCACCACCATTTAACACATTTAATTCATTACAATTAATATCAAAAAATCTTTCCCAATGCCACATTTTGTTAGAAAAAATTCCTGAGGAATTAAAGGAATATAATAAACAATTGGAATATGCATTGAAATTGGCAAATAATATTTCGAGTGAAGTTGGGGAAGTTTTGTTGATTAATGAAGAAAAAGAACTTCCTGGACAATTACAAGACCACCATCGGGAATGGACAATAAATGGGGATATTGTAAGTATTCAAATCAAAATTATATCTAGTCTGTAAGATAAACGTTCAAGCAAGTGCCTAAATTCTATAATTATATTATGAGCGAATATTAAATATAATATTTAATTTTTAATAAAAGGAAATTGAAAATGAACCAGAAATTCTGAGAGGCAATGATGATGGCATAAAAATTTTAAAAAATAATTTCTTTGAATTAAACAAAACAGAATTGTTAACTTTGGAAAATATTGATAAATATTTGGAAAGACAGCTTAGACAAGCAAAAAATAAGTAAAAAAAATATTTGAAATAACTAAATATTTTTTTATTCTAAAAAAGGCATTGTCTTCTATCATTAGTCAATAAATTAGCCAAAATACAAAAATCAACAGTTAATTTTAGAATTGAAGCTACAGGATTAAATAAAGTTATTTTTTTAATTTAAATATTTTTTAAATAAAAATTTAAAAGGAAATAAAAGAATTATTAAATAATTCTTCCACAAATTATTTAGAATTAGCTAAAGCAGAAATTAAATTAACTAATTCTGATAAAGATGTTAGTTCTAGTATGGATATTTATGGAATAATTACTGGAGGAGACAAACAAAAGATTTTTTATGGAATTTCGGCTGTAAGTTACTGAATTATTTAAAAGAGGGTTTTTGAGAGAAAATAAAATTAAAAATAATTTTAATTAAATTGTTTTTAATGTTTTTACCCCCTACAAAACTTATTTGGATTAAAAATTTGGATTTAAATAATTAATTAAAGTCTTGTTAAACAACCCTAGTTTTACTAAAAAATTTAATTATCAAAAAATTAAAAAATAAAAATATTTTATAGACAAATTTTCAAAATCGTGCAAAATCTAATAAACCTCCAACAAGTGGATATAATGTAAATAATTAATAAATAAATAGTTTTTTTTAATCTTTTATTTATAGTTGTTCTCGGGCATTTTAAATTTTCTAAATAATATCGGATAATTAATAAATGAATTTTATGAAAAGAATAATATAAAGATTTTATTATATTTTTGTTTAATTTTAATGTTAAATAAATTAAATATTTTATTCAATAAAATTATTTGATTTTATAATCTTTGTTATTTGGGTTGAATGTATTTTTATATTTATTATTGAATATTTCTTTTAATTTTTATCCAAGAAAATTTTTAAAAAATCTATCATGACATTTAATTTTAAATACAAAAATAATAAATTCTTCAGTTAAAAAGTGTATTCTAAATATCGTAAAATATTAATTAATATTTGTAAATTAATTTTTAATTAAAATTGTTCAAATATTATCTTCACTGTAATATTATTTTATTAAACATTACAAAATTAAGAAATCTTAAAATAACCGTTCAGAATTAATTTTTATTTAAATATTCTCTTACTTGTTTTTATTTATTTTGATCACAAAATATATTTTATATTTCCATATTAAATTTATGCGAGAAAGGAAGAATTCTTAAATTTAAAAAGAAATAAAATTCTGTTCAATTTCAAATCATTTTTATTTTTTTCAAACAAATAATTTTTAAAAAAATATTTAATCATCTCCAAACATTTCCTTCCAAAATGTATTTTAAAATAATTCTATTTACTTTAATTATTTATATTATAAATCAAGTAAAACTAACAGAAACTGCTCCTTTAAATGAAGAAAGCAGCACTTTAGAATATTTTTATAATAAAAATTTGGAATATTTAGAGATGGAGGCTAATGCCGAGTTTTTAAAGTCAACAACTTTACCATCTTTGGATGAGGTAGTTGATAATAGGGAATATATAAATTTAATTTAAAAAATTGTTAAATAATTGTTTCCAGGCAAAAATTAAGAAACGTTCAAAACGGATGCTTGCACCTACGGTTGCTTTACCTCCACCGTATGTTCTCTCATTAATTTAAATTTAATCATTTTTAATCATTAAGAAGTGAGAAAAGCTCAGAAAATGGAAATGGGTTTTTATTTTTTAATTTAAAGATTATGGCGATTAAATTTTAAGTTTTTATTGAGGGATATTAGAAAAAATCATAATTTAAAAAATTCAAATTAAATAAACTTTTAATCGCCATTTTGTAAATATTTTTGTATCTTATTTTTAACCTTTAGATGTGTATTTTGTGGCAATCAACAAAACTTATGAACTTGATGAATATATAAATTTTTGTGATAAATAAATATTACATAAACAAATTTTTATACTTTATTAAAAATTTTAAAATTAAAATAACTAGTGAATGAATAGAAGATAAATCAGGGATATTGCTTCCGAGTCCACCTAATTCCATATTGTTGACTTTTTTTGTTTCAGTCTCTGGCTCTCTTACGCCAGAATTTATGAGTGATTAATTGAGGGCGTGTTTACTCAGTTTTTATCATGGAATACATATTAAAAAATCATAATTTAAAAATTGTTGTGTACTTCAAATATATCTTATAAAATTCGAACATATAGGAGAAACCTAAACCTTTTGGATTCCTCAATTATGTAATCACTCTCTCTCTCGGTTATTTACTTCCTTTACTAAAGAAAGTAAAACAATTAAATATTACACTATTATTCTAGCTAGTTTTTTCTTAACTGTTAGGAATTATGATAAAAGTTCACAACCAAATAATATACGCCCCTAAGTATCAAATAGAAGACAATGTAATTCGAACAAATAAGAGAAACTTCAACCTTAAACGCTTTTTTAGTTTGAGCTCCTAAAATTCATTAACGCCAAATAATCTGCGCCGAAACGTCAAATTCAATTCCCCTTATAAAACCTATACCTTTTGGCTTCAAATTTTTAGTTAAAACTTGAATCCAAAAGGTTTAGGTTTTGTAGTGGAGACGGAAGAAGACAAATCGGCGCCGATTGTTTGGTGTCAGTATTTTCGTTCCTAAAAAATTTTTTCTATAGCTAGTCTATCCATTTTGTTAAAATTCCCTGTATCGTTAACCTTCGAATGATAAAGATTTGTTAATAAAGTTTGTCAAATTTAAAAGTTTTGGAGGAAGAAATAACTTTGGCGCCAAGTTGCTAGCGCCAAATTGTCTTTTTAATCCAAAAGGTTTAGGCTTCAATAGGTTTAGGCTTTAAATGAACTTTTCGGCGCCGCCAAGTTGGCGGCGCCTGTTTTTTTTGTTCTATAAACCTTAACGCGCGTTACTGTTCGTGGGCATTTTTTGGAATTTATTTTTATTATAAAATGGGATGAACAAAGTATCGGATAAAAAAAGTATTTATTTTTATAACTTGATTGCTCAAATTCATTTTTAATTTTGTATTTTTCCAATTCTCAAATTTTTTGAAAGGCAAATAAAGTTACAAATTTTTGGACTTTTCAATTAATTTTTTCTTTTTTTTTTATTTTAGAATTTAAAAATGGAACAGTCTTCTAAAAATAAAAACAGTGAAAATATTAATTCGCAGAAAAAAGCTCGTCAATTTGACTTTGATTTACTTTTCGCACAAACAATTGAATCAAAACAAACAGAACAAGAATCTGCTGATTTTAGTCGAATTTCATTGCAGGGAAGTGTTGATGAAATAACACAAATTAACAGAAATGTTGCAGAAAATACACAGGTAAAATAAAAAATATTCAACAAAAATTTGTTTAGAATTTTCGTGTTTTTTCTAGAGAGCGAGCTGGATCTGGATCCAGACCTTGGTTTTTCCTTGACTCAAGGTCAAGAATCTGGTCAAGGTACCCAACCAAAATCAAGGATCAAGGTTAAGGTTTTTTGAAAATCTCGCTCTCTAGTTTTTTCCTACATTTACTAGTTTAGTAATTTAATTAAAGAGAACTTTTCTAAATTTTCTTTTGCCGTAATTCATTTAAAAAAACTTTAAAAATTAGGAAGATGATTTTGTTGGTCCACCTATTCCAGAAAATTTAAAGAATTCAAAATCTGATCATGAGGACGAGGAAGTAGTTGGACCTCCGCTCCCTTCCGATTTTGTGTTAGACAAGAATGTTTTAATTGAAAATGCAGATGATGCTGGATTTGACGAGGATGAGGTTAGTAAATAAATAAATTATTTTTTTAATTTCTTTATAGATTAATGTATCAAGTGTCATTCCCGCCTCTTACGAAGTTTCGGTCAAAACTGACACAACAAAAGCAATAACGGCCTTAGCATTTGATCTCCAAGGGGCTAAATTTGCAATTGGAACTTATTCTTATTCTGTTAGTATTTACGAATTTCAACGAATGGATAGTTCTATGAGTTCTTTCAGACAAATTTATCCTTGTGAAAGGTTTCTTCTTTAAAATTATTATTTTTAAATTATTTTCTCGAAAAAATTGGGGAATTTTTTATTTCGATTTTTACGTGTGTGTTAAGTGTTCCCCCCTACCAATTAATTTCTTTTTCTATTTCAAAAACTAGTCATGTAATCAATGATTTGGCATTCAGTAACAATGCAGAAAATTTATTAGTTGGAAGTAGCAGTCCAATACTCCGATTGCTTGACAGACAAGGTTCTCAATGGGCAGAGACTGTCAGAGGTTTTATTAATTTAAAAAATATTTTTTGTTTAATTTTAAGGAGATCAATATTTGGTAGATCCAGCAAATACAAAAGGACACACAGCAGCAATTAATTCTGTTTGTTGGCATCCTTTGAGTAAAAATGAATTTTTGACTTGTGCGAATGATGGGTTTGTTTATTTTTTATTTAAAATATTCTTTAAATTATTTTTATAAAAAAGTAAAAAAATGATTTTTAATCGTCATTAGCCTTCGTTTTTCGATTAATCTGGAGGTGAATTTCTCACAAACCGCATTTCTTATTTTTAGATAAATTTTATTTTAAATAATTGTCTTAACCCAAGTCTAAAATTATTTAAAAAAATGTTTCAGGTTGTGAAAATAAATCTAAATTTTTTTTTAATTTATACATTTAAATTTCTTTTTATTTTTTAGAACTTTACGTATTTGGGATATTAATGATTACAAAGATGTAACAAAATGTATAAATACTCAACGTAAATTAATTAAAACAAAAAATTCAACGGGTAAACGTGCATTGGCTACTACTTGTTGTTATTCTAGAGATGGGAAATTAATTGCTGCGGGGTGTGATGATGGGTCTATTCAAATTTGGAAAAATGGAAAACTTTTTGTAAGAAATTTTTAAAATATTTTTTATTGAAACCTGGCGGGTTTTAATTTATATTTTGGTATTTTTGAGGAGTTATTTTTTAAAATTATTTTTAATATTCAAATAATTTCTTTAGGTAAACACAACATATTTGTGTAGAACTGCCCATTCTGGTTTAATAACTCGATTACAATTTTCTCCTGATAATGAAAGAATTATTTCTCGTTCAAGTAAAAAATATTTTTATTTTCTTAAATTTATTTATTTTTCAGTGGATGACTCTTTAAAGTTATGGTCCTTAAAAGACTTCAAAAAACCTTTAAAAACAGCAACAAATTTAAAAACAATATTTTCCCAAACAGATTGTGGTTATAGTCCTCATGCAGAATTTATATTTACGGCAACAAATGACAAAACTAGAGAAGGAGGAGAAAATGGTTCTTTATTGTTTTTTGATTCTGAAACACTTGAATTACTTTACAAAATTGAATATGAAAATCAGGTTTATTTTTTGAGGAATTTTGAATTCCTTTTCAATTTTATAGTTGTGGGGATGAGATTTCATAAGAATTTTAGGGATTTGTTCGGAAATTCTAGGCGATAAAAGGGATTTTTAGGATTTACAGGGCTGTGATGTTTTGAACTAAAGCCTCGTCATATGATATAAATCAATTCCTCACACACTCTTCTTTGGTTTTTCGAGTTTTTAAATTAATTTTAAGGGTTGTATTCGAGCATTATGGCATCCAAAAATTAATCAAATTTTTGTTGGATTAAGTGATGGAACTTGTAAAATTTATTACGATCCTTCAATTAGTGTTCGTGGTGCAATTCAATGTGTTGGTAGACCAATTAAACGTTCAAGAGAAAAAGAAGTTGTTAAAGAAGAATTAATATTATCACGTTAGTTTAAACAAAATTTTTGAAAAATAAATAATTTGTTTTTAGCATTAACTCTTGAAATGTTCCAACCTCGTGGTGAAGATGGTGAAGAACGTGAAGTAACTGAATGGAGATTAAGAAAATATTTAAGAATGCAAAGCAAACAGAAAAGGCCCCAATTTAGACAACCTGCCGCTATGCCTATGTCTGGTCCAAGTAAATTTTTATTTTTTAATTGAATTTTAATTAAAAGGAAATAATCTTTTAATGATTTAAAATTTTTTCAAGAAAATTTTGTTAATTTTTTGAAATTAAATAAAATGTTTTTCCTATTTTTTAGGCACTGGTGGTCGAATACGTCCACAGGGCGGAACTTTGCATGGCTTTATAGCTAAAGAAATGGGATTAGTTAGAAATAAAGAATTTATTGATGATGAAGATATTCGTTCAGCAATTCTTCGGCATGCTGAAGAGGTGAAAGAAAAATATTAAATTTATTTAATTTTTAAATTTATTTAGGCTGAAAAAGATCCTCAATTTATTACAAAAGCCTATACTTTAACACAACCAAATCCTGTATTTCAAGAATTAACAGAAGAGGAAAAGGGAGAGGGGGAAGAAGATGAACCTGTTTATAAAGTACCCAGATTGGGGTAAAATGAAAGGGGAACATTTGGGGATTTCTTTTTGGAGTTTTTTACAAATTATTAAATAAAATTTATTTTAAATTTATTTGCAAATTTAGTAATTATAAGGTTGGAAATAGAATTTTTAGCAGGTGTTTAATTATATACATTTATTCCAATAAAAATTTATTTTTACTGGCAACTTTCAAAATTAGAAGAAAAAACGTCATAAATGAGTGAAACACTTCAAAATAAAAATTATTAAACAAAAAATATTTTTTAATTTAAGATGAGAAATGTAGAAGACCTAGATATGTATTTTTTAATTCCCAAAAGTTTAGGATTTATACGTGAAAAAAAAATTTAAAAAAATTTAATCATCTTAATTTTAAAAATTAAAAAAAATATTTATAAATTATATACTATTTATTCTCTTAAAATTTTATATTTAATTTTTCTAGTAAAAATTTTCTAAAGGTGTGTCATTTACCTCATTTATTTTCCCATTCTTTAAAATTACCACACTCTCTATGAATTGACAATAAATTAGCTATTTGTTAAATTATTAAAAAATTATTTTTTAAGTACAAAATACTTGCTTTAGTTTTTTTAATTTTATTTTGTTAAAAAAATTATTAAATTATTTTTATAAAATTTATTAAAATTTTATTGATTTTTAACCCTTAAAAAACAATTTTTGAATTTTTGTATTACGTTTAAGGATATAATTTTCATTAATAAAAAAATAAAATAATTTTCTTTAAAAAATATTTCGGCACTCTTCATATACATAACACCAAATAACGTTCATCCCTAAATTACTATACCCAATTTCTTTATTTTCTATCACTTTTTTAATTACATACACATTTTTGAACGGAAATAATTTTAAGGATTTAAACAGTTGAATATTTATTTATAATTAAACAATGAATAAATAAAATATTCTTTTCATTTCCCCTCGTTCATTTACGCAAATGTCTGTACATTTTTCTAAATAATTTTTTAAAATTAAATCCCAATTGTATATTCTCTTTTTATTCTTTATTAATTGCTGTTTATTAATAATTATTATATCTAAATGGAACTCAATCCGAAAATAATTATATTAGATAATCTTAGAATTGAGAAATTAGAATTGAATAACTTAATATTATTATTGTCGAGCTTGAACTTTTTTTTTTGAAAATCTCTAAAAATTTATCATGTTTTTAAAAATTCTTTTTATATAATCAAAACTTTATTTTTTTATTTCTTATTTTTTTATAACACTTTCATTTAATTTTCTTTTATTCCAAAAGGTCTAAATTGTCGTTTGGTTTTACACGGTTATAGAGTTTGGACACCATTTATCTATTACAACACTCTCTTAATCCCCATTTCCTCTTAACAATAAATCCGGAAATATTTTCCCTTTTCCCTCTTTAACTTTTTTTAATTTACCTAAACAATTTAATATTTTTATTTTTCTTTTTTTTGCTCATTATTTTTATCCATATTTTTTGTTTTACCTTCATTTATATTCCCTCGAGGATTTAAATGTCCAAATATAAAAATAATAATATTCATAACTTGGAAAAAGTTATTGAAGAACTTTTTTTAAAGGAATATATTTTTGGGGAATATATTAAATAAAAACAAATATTCGTTTAACATTCCCCCAAAACTTTAATTATTTTTAAAAATTAATTTAAAAAAACATTTTTAGTGAAAATTTAGATGATTAATTTATCAATTTTTCAATTCCCTCCTTTCTTCTCCCCTTTATTTTTCCAATTATTTTTTAATTATTTCCACTTTTCTTCTTCCAAACAATTAAAAATCAAAAATTTAAAATTTCCAACAATTTTATTATTTTTAATTTTAAATTTTTCTTTTTATTGTTATGCTGATGATTTAACTAGTAACAATACTTTAACAAACCAAACAGTAAGTAAAGAAATATTTTTGACATAAAAAATATTTAATTTTTTAACCAAAAAGGATGCCGGTAATGGGACAACAATACCTAGCATTCAAACAACAACAATTAATTGGTTTGTTTAAAATAAATTGAGGGGGTTTGGTAAAAATTCTAGCTTGAGAAAGATGACACAAAGCAAAAACCTAGCGATAGAGAAGTCGGCTTTCCAAACCTCCCCCCCCTCCCCCCAATCCTCGAAAATTTAACACTTTCTGCATCACAAGAATTACTTAGTATTACACAATTTGGACGAAACTTCTTATTAATTTGATAAAAATTTTCTAAAAAGGTGGGGCTCAATGGCAGTAACACAGCCAGATTCTTATGTAGCAGATGATTCTACTGTAATAAATACAACAACAGATAGTAGTGGATTGGTAAAGAATTGTTTAAAAATTTGAAAAAAAAAATATTTTTTATCAGAATGGGTCAGCAAGTCAAGATTCTTCTTCTAATACTTCTACAGATACTTCAACTAACTCAAATTCAACAACAAAAAATAAAGCAATCTCCTCTAAATACCAAAAATATATTTTTGTAAATTTAATTAGTATTTTATTTTTTGGGATATTTTTATATTTAAATTGAGATGAATTACAGACATGTGATTAAATATATTTGTATTTAGATAAAAACTTTGATGAAAATTAATATTTTTTATAATTTTAATACAAAAATAAAAATAATATAAAGAAAAATTAAGAGGATTGTGGCTTCAACAAACTAATTAAGAAGGATGTTAACTAGAAGGAAAGAGGGGAAGGGAGGAGGTTTTGTGAGGAGATTCTTCAAATAAGAAAATTTAAGGAAGGAAACCCTATTTTATTATTGATAAATAGTAGACATTTTATTTGACAAAATAATGGGGATATCAAGCAATTTTAAATTTCAATGTTCAGTAACCAAAATACGAACAGAAGGAAAAGGCCTAGGCAATGGTGGAGTTATCTTTAAATTAATATTTTAGTTTTTTAAAAATTTCAAAAAAACAATTTACCGGTTCTTGTGTTGGAAGCAATTTTGCAAAAATTGGAAAGAAACGTTGTGCTGTATAACGAATTGGAGCAATAAGGATTAATGAAAGTATTGGATGTAAGAGTGAAATAAATAAAGGTAAGGTTGTAAAGGGGAATTCGACGGCTAATTGAGTACACTAAAAAATTATTTTCTTTTTTAAAATTATTCAGAATTCTTTGAAAATAAAACGTATTTTTATCCTTACTTTTATGTTATGCCTTAATAATCTAGTTGAAACTGTCCCAAGAAAACTGTGGGGAATATACTATGTAAGTAACCGAAATAATAATTTTATGAATTAAAAACTCGTTCTAATTCCAACTGCTCTGGTATATTTATTAACATATTATAATCATTTTAACAAAAAACCCCCTTCAAACTTTTTATCAAAAAATTAATTTACTTTATTGCAAGGACTAGTCAAAACATATTGTTGAAATAAAGCAATTCCAGTTAATAAAGCTACTAACGACCACAAAATTGCCTCTATTAAAAATAAATCTCTACACGAAAAAACCAAAAAATCAAAAATTGAAGAGTGTCGATAACTGACAGACTTTTTTTGATAAAAAATAATTAAATAATTTATTTATTTAGAAAAAACCTTTTTATTATTTTTAATTGTTTTGAGGGGAATAAAATACCAAACTAAAGACTGTAATAATTGAGATATTAAAATTAATGAAAGCAATCCAAAAGTCAATCCTTTTTGGCGAATAGCCAAAGTAATTGAACACTTAAAGGGAAGATTTTTTTAAGTTAGAAAAAAATAAATTTATAAATTAATTAAAGGGAAGGGGATTATCTTTTCATAAAAAAAGATTACATTAAATTAACAAAATTTCAAAATAAATTTTTAGAATTTCTAAAATTAGATTTGATGGATAAATGTAAAGTTGACCTTCGTTATACTTTAATTCCAAAGGGACCGACAATTTTTGTGGTTTAGTGGAGTTATCCCACTCACTTGGAAATTCCAATAAACGATATTTTAGAAAGATATTTCATTTCGTCTTAGTTAAAACAAAATTTTAAACCTACATTAGCCATTCTTTTCCGTTTTAAGGACATTTCATCCCATCTATCAAAAGAAGTAAAAAACAAAGTTATTCCACAACAAAAAACAATTAAAATAATTTGTTTTGTTGAACATAGCCAATAAGGGAAAGGAAAATATTTTTGTTGTTTTTTAATTATTTTCCATTTTTTAAATTCTGTTTCGGAAATATTGGAATGACGAAAATCTTCTATTATATTATTATTGTTGTTATTTTGAATTATTAATTTTTTGACTCTTGAAAAGATTTTAATTAAATTTTTTAAAATTTATTTGAATGTTTGGGGAAATCATGTAGATACTTTGAACCCCTATAACTTTTCGAAATGGAGGTCAGGGCCAAGAAAGCAAAAAACTGGAAATAGGTTATCGACCCTGCTCTACACGATGGTGCAAAAAAATACGAAATAGTCACATACAGTTCGGGATGTTCCCTTGTTAGATTTAATTTTCTTTAATATTTTCGAAGGAGCGAAACAATCAGAATTATCGAAAATCGTAATTCTGATGCACCTCTGAATAGTCCTGAGAATTCCCTTATATCTCTTGTAACTTTTCCCGTAATTTATATATTTCTTTATCAAAATTAAACAAAAAACCTTCTAGACTGTCTACTACTATTTTGTATAATTATTTTTCTTTGATTATTAAAATTTATAATTTTTTCTTCTTCTTTATTTTTTCTAAACCATCTTTTAAAGGCCATTTGTAAAGCAAAAATTAAAGGTAAAATCATTGAGTAAATATAAATAAAAACTAAAGGAAATTCTTGTAATTTACAAGTTGAAGAAGTAAATGTTGGAATACAATGACCTTTTGGATTAACAAAAGAAAAATATAACCAAAAACATTTTTTAGTTAATAAAATAGAAGCTAAGAGAGCATAATTGAGGGAAATTGATGACTAGAAAATTGAAAGAAAATGATTTTTTTGAAAAAAATTTTACTAAAAATCGTCTTGTCCGAAAAGGTATAGGCCTAGCATTAAGTGAAGATGGAATTAATAATGAATTTAAAATAATTGCTAAAATTGCTAAAACAATATCCAAAACTGTCACAAACCTATTTAGAAAATTTATTATTTATTTTTTAATTTTTACAAAATAAATTTCTCTAACCAAATAGAAATTTGTAAAAATTTTAAAGAACAATGACCACCATTAAAATCATTTTTAGTTAATTGTTCATTAAATAAAAATAAATTATTATTATTTTCTTTATCAAAATTATTTAAAATAAATTGTTCTTCCATAAATTTTTTTGTTTAATAAAAATTAAAAAATTATTTTTTAATTATTAAATTTTATTTTTTAGTTTTTGGTAAAAGTTCGAAATACGAGAGAAATTTTTTTTATAAATAATAAAGGATAAAAATAAGGGGAAAATGTTTTTTTTTTCGTTAAAAATAAACTAACTTCTCAAAATAAAGTCAATATAAGTAAATAAAGTTTTAGAATTTTGTTTAGATTAAAAGCTTCTAAATAAAAATATTTTTCTAAAAAAGTCTTCTTTCCTCACGCAAATTAGAAAAGCATAGAAAGTTAAAAGCAAAGGGCTTTAAAGAAGAAAAAAAATTTTTTGATGATGTAAAAATAAATCTTTTTTAGAGAAAAGTAAAATATCTCTTGAATATTTAAAAAATTAATATAAAAGTAAAACTAAGAAAAATCGGGAGTAATAAATAAAAAAGATTGTCTAAACCAGGGCCTAAGTACACTTTACCGGGGGATTTTATATTTGAACAATTTATGTGTCAATCAAAAGAGCTCGTTTAGGAAAAATTTTTTTTATTTTCTGAACAAATATAAAAATGTAATAAATTATTTTCCTAATTTACAGTCAAACAATAAATATTTAACAACTTTTGTCTATTAAAATTTAAGAAATTTAAATTTTTTCACATTTTCTTTAAATGCCTCCTCCTGTTTGGTCAGCATTTTATCCCATTCCTCCAAAACTGAATTTTGATTGTTGAAATCGCACGTCTAAAATTTACAATTGTATAAAATTAATAAAAAAATTAATTAAACACCTGTCTAATCTTATCCGGCAAAGGCCAAAGTATAGTCGGCTGAGGTTCTAAAGGTCTATATTTCTGCCAAAATTGAACAACACGAACACGAAGCTAAAAAATTTTTTAGGAATATGGACCCGAAATTCTAAAATAAAAATAAACTTACACTTTCAATTTTGAATTCAATATTTTCTTTTGACTTAAAATAAGTAGCCATTGAAGTAGGATTTGCATTTGAAGGCAACAACAAACGATTATATTCAGTCATTAAAGTCTCTGATTCTTTCAATAAATGTTCCAATTCTTGTTGCTCGTTGTTTTTCTCATTACAAATTGAACAGACATATGGATCGTTTGAGAGTAATTTTTTCTTCTAAAATTTATCATTTTTTTTAGAAATTTTCCTATTTTTTTTACCTCTAAGGCATTAAGACGTCGAATTTCTTCATTCATCCTGCCCAAAGTATTATTATTATTTATTGCTAAAGATGTAGAAGTCAACGGAGTTCTAATATTTTCTTCCATAACACTTAGATTTTGCTCATCTGCTATCACGATTTTTTGTTGTTGTTTTGGAGTTGAGGTAGTTTGTTGCTGATTCTTTAAATTCTAAAAAGAATAATTTTATTAATTAAAAAAAAATAATTTTTAATATTTTATTTCTTAATATTTTGTCAGAAATTTAATTCTTTACAGAAAGGACAGAATTCTTCTCTTTAAATAAAAACTGTCTCGACACTTTTTATCAAATTATTTTTACATTAAAAGAGATCACCGCAAAAAGGGCCTTTTTTGAAAATTCTCTTGTCAATTCCAAAGCCTTCTCACGTTCCGCTCGTGTATCAGCCAGTTCAGATTGAAGTTGAGTCAATTTAAGTTCATAATCACTAAAAATATATTTGAAAATATTTTTAAAATAATTATTTTTAAACCTTTTCTTTTGCTCCAAATCATTACATAATTGTTCACATTTTGTTTTAAGTTGTTGAATTTCAGCCTTTAAAGCAGTTCCGGCCTCATTTTCTGAAAGTTTCTTTTCTGCCATATCTAGACGAATTTTAATCATGCTGGCCGATTCTTCTCTACTTTTAAGTGCAGATTGTAATTTCAAAAGTTCATCATCTTTTTTTGAAAGCTTAAAGAAATAAATTTAACAAAAATTTAAACATCCCAAAATTTAAATAAAATTAAATTCGGATTAAAGAAGGGTAGACTAGTGACAGTCAAAAGTCGAAATTCTGATAAAGAATTCTTTATAGACTTTGCTCAACAAAAAATCATTTTTCTCAATTTTCCCAAAAAGATAATTAAATAAAAATTCTTTACAAACCTGCCATCTTAAACTATCAGCCTCAACAATATCTTTTTTACGCAACTGAGCACGATTGACAAGTGGAGGAAAAACATCATTATTCAAAAATTGATTAGAATTTTCATTTGGACAAATTTCCATTGAAGAATTCTCTAATGATTCACCAAGGCCTTGTAAAACTGCTTTGACAGATTCCAATAATTCACTAAAATTGAGTTTTTAAAAAATAAAAAAATAATAATTTTTACAAAATTTGTGCACAAGCTCGTTTTTGTCCATCAATTTGCCCAACAAATTTTTCAACAGAAGAAAATACAAAATCAAGCATTTGTTGAGAAGGTAATGCTTCAGTGTCTACAGTTCCCAATTCAGATGTTGCCATTGAGCAAATTTGATTTATAATACAACCACACTTTTCGAGAGTAGCAACAGCCATACAAATTTGATCATTCAACTTAAATTGAAAAAATGAGAAAAATTCAAAAGGGGAAAGAAATGAATTATATCCAAGACAAAAAAAACTTTAAGCAATCCTACGATTAATAAGTAAACAACCTCATTAGGCAATAAAAGCTCATTTTCTTTCGGAATTCTATTCATTGCCCTCATTGTCATTTTATCACAATCTTCCAATAATTGGTTAACTTGATCAACAAAAGAAATAAATTCAACATTGTCAGTCCCTCCATTTCCATTATTGTTAATGGAACTTTTGGTCATTAAAGAGGAAGAAGTCACTGAAGTTGGCGATGATTGAGAGTCGGAAGTAGTAGATGAATCCTTTAAATGTGAAAATTTTGTAATAAATTTAAAAGTTTAAAGGAACCGAAAAGAAATATTGAAGACGCTGTCCATTAAATCTAATCCAAATCAAAGCTTTCTTGATTTGAGCAAGAGTGTGTTGCAAGTCTTGTTTGGCACTAAATGGTTCTGTGCTTAGATTGGCAGAAAAAATTCGCTAAAATTTTTAAAATTAATCTTAAATAAAATATGGCAAAAAAAACCTCAAAATATTTAACCATTTGTTCAAGCACTTCAATTGAAGTATTTTCATCAAATTTATTTTGTTTCAATAATTTAAAGTAATCCTCCAATTTTTGTTCTCTTTGGCAAATTTCTGTTTGTTGTACAGCAAGACGAGATAGAGGGTCAGAAAGACGATCATTAAATGAACAATGTTTGAAAACACTAAAAAGTTTAAAAAATATTTGAAAAAATAGAAATGAAAATTTTTAAATCACTCATTAATTTAAGAAAATAATGAGGTTATTGGGGTGTAACGATTAATATACTGATTATTAAAAAAATGATTCTATCCATCACCTGCACTATATTTTCGGGTTAAAAAATGTTAGTTAAATAAAATTTTGAAAAATCAGAAGGTTAACCATCCATTTAAATAAAATAAAAGCTTACGCAACAAATTTTTGTAAAACCGTATTCAACTTTTGTAATTGATAACCAAAATGCCGAACATGTGCCCATTGTTCCCCTTTATGTGAAATTGTAACATGTTCACGTTTAAGTCCATCAGGTGGTTGCGGATATTTTTGAAACAAAAGTTGTGACAGGCAAAGTGCTTTGGAAGAAAGACGAGGTAGAAGAACACAAAGAATTAAACAATCGTTGTCACCTAAAGAAGAAAGTACCTAGTTTTATTAACAAAAAGTTTAAACCTCCAGCTTTCATAAACTTGTCTGGAATAAAACTTCGTAAATAAGAAATGTTTCTTCTTGCCGATTCCAGTTCAATAGAATTCAATTGAGCCTCGACCAACTATTTGAAAAATAATACTTAACAAAAAAATTAAAGAAAACCTCAGAAAAATCTCTTTTAACATTTGCCATTAAAGAAATTTCAGCACCAGCAGCTCTAGCCTTTTCATCATCAAAAGCCCTCATTGTAGACAAATCATCTTCCAAATTTTGAACTTTTTCTTTAAGCTCGTTAGTCTTTTGACGAAATTTGTTGATTGCATGTTCATAGTCTATAGCACGGTCCTCTGATTCCAACAATTGGCGTTTCAACTGAAATAAAAAAATTTATAAGTCGAAAAACACCAAATAGAAAGGGTTTAGCAAAAGCTTAGCCTTCGGACAGGATTCGAACCTGCGACGTCCTGACAGTCGTTAGGTTTTTTCAAAAGCCTAACGACTGTCAGGACTGTCTCTACCACTGAGCTACCGAGCCACCAACTCTGCATTCTCTTTTATCCTTTTGAATAGATCGTTTAAACCCCGCCTAAGCGTTTTAAATGCTCTGAGCAAATCATCCTTAAAATTTAACCAAAAAATTAAACAAAAACCGTAGCAATTATAAGCATCTGTTCTTCATTTCCTTGGAGCAATTCCTTCTCAGTCTCTTTCTGTGTGTCAATAATTTCATCTTCCATAAGGTGTAATTGCTCCAGTTCATTGAAATCAGCTTTTAATTGTCTAAAATTAATTTAAAAAACTTTAACAATCAATTCTTAACCTATATTGTTCTTCCAAATCCAGATTCTTGCTTGTCAAATCCGCAATGATTGCATCAGAACTCATTTGAACTTCAATCTAGAAATGTTGAATAAATTGAAATTTATTAAAAAAATAAGACAGAAAAACATACTCTACTTTCCAATTCACTTATTTGTGTGTTCATCTTTAAATAATAAAAAATTTCGAAAAAATAAAATTAAAACAAAACCGTAGCAATAGTCAAAGCCAATTCCTGGTTTTTAGTCTGCAACTCCTTTTCCGTTTCTTTCTGCATCTCGATTATTTCCTCATCCATTTGATGCAGTTGCTCAAGTTCGTGAACATCCAATTTTAATGTTCTTAATAAAATTGTTTTTTGTAAAAAATAAAAGAAAATGAATACTTGATTTGCTCCTCCAAGTCCACATTTTTATTTGTCAAGTTGTTTATAATAGCTTCAAAGTTAAGCTGTTCAGTCATTTTCAGGTCTATAATTGAAAGATTAACTAATTTTTTTATTAAAATGAACAAATTTAAAAAATATTGGAACTTATAAGGTTTGGGTATGCTATTTTAGCAACGCCCTTTTTCCTTTTCAATCATCAACCAAACTTAATATGGACAGAGGTCTTCCTCAAGTTCTTCCCCCCTTTCTTCCTCAAGTTCACTCAATTTTCCTGTAAGAAAAAAGGATCGATTGAAAAAGGAAAAAAAGGATTGACAAAAAAAGGATTGATTTTTCTTTCAAATGTCACCAAAATATGTAGAAATTTACATTTGAATCAATATTCTTATTTTACTAAAAATGGCAATAAGACTGGTTCTTATTGTTAAAACTATGATCGGTATTTTTTCGTACTTACAATTAGAATCAAAACCATATAATAATTGAAAAAAGCATACCCAACCTCCAAATATAAAAACACAAACGATTAAAAAAAAATAAAAAATAAAGTCAACCTAACACAAAATAAAAAAGTAAAAAAAATACGGGTACAGCCCAAAACGGCGCGCGGCCATAACGGCGCAAATCCATAACTTGCATCAAAATTTCCCAATCTTACCAGATTTAGCATCAAACGATTCCTCTCATCGAGATAAAGAGATTGGTAACAAAATTGATAAGGGCCGGAATTTTTCTAGCAAGTTATGGCCTTGCGCCGTTATGATCGCGCGCCGTTTTGGGCGTGTCCCAAAAAATAGTGTGGTTAAAATGAAGAGGCGACAGACAATCAGACGTTTCACTTTTAGCGTCAGTTTGGGTGCTAGAAATGATTTGAACTTTGATATGGTAAATAAATAATCTTTTTTAAATAAATAATGCTTTTTTAAATTTAATTTTAATATTCTTATTAATTTTAATATCGAAAAGTATTTTTGGTAATCTGAAAAGGAAGTGGTGGCGATAAAGATATTACATAATTAACTATTTCCTACATTAACCAGGCCTGACAATTTTTTTTCAAAGTTTAACTCATTTTAATCATTTTTATTCATTAATTACTTAACTACTTTATATTTATTTTCAACAATTATCATATTATTATTATTTAAAGCTTTCTTTTCCCAAGAATTTGTTAACATTTTTATTTGATCAACTGCTTCATTTTCCTTTTTCAAATAAATTGTCATATTTGTAGAACTGTCGGTTATTCTATTTTTTATAAAAATTTTCTTTAAAAGCTGTGTAATATCACGACGGATGAATGGGTGGAAACTAAAAAAAAATAAAAATATTTTTATTAAAAGGGGGGCAGATTATTTTAAAAGAAAATGAATTTACAAAAGTTTTTTCTTCGAATAATTACCCCTTGAATAATAATTAGGTATTTCAATCTATTACTGAAGCGTGTACATAATTATTAACGGGGGAGGACGATAGAAAAAATAAGGTATTCTAGTATAAGATAAAGATCAGCGATAATTTATAATGTTGATTATTTTTTAAATTAATTAATTTACATAATAACACAAGATTCCGCTAGCATTGAAAAAATAGCGTCACACAAATTATTTGCTTGAATCTAAAAATTTAATTAAAGTTTTTAAATTTTTTAAAAATAAACTTACAGCTAATGCTAAATAAAATTTGTCTGGTATCATTTCAAAAACTACCCAAGTTTGTGCTTGGGCTAATGCTATTGTAAACAATAATTGGCATATTAAGGTTGGGATTAATTGTGAACCAGTTCTGACATTTTCCAAATGCTTTAAATTAATTTTCTAATTCAATACTATTAATGTTAATAGGGGAGATTTAAAGCCTTGTTCAACTTTCTGATTAGCTGCTTTATACTTATAAACAACGACTTGATATTATATAGCCGTTTGGCTCCCGGTAAATCAACAGTTCTCAGATAAGGAAAATTTCGAACATCCCAAGATTTCTTATTACTCGAGAGAATATACACTTACATATATCTCAGGGACATTAAAACATTTATTATTTATGAATAGATCCCATAATTAAAAAGATATTTGATCATTTATCCCGACTTTTGGCTGGTGATTTCCTTTCCATCTTTATTAATTAGGCAGCAAGGAAAGTTATCCTGGATCTTGTCCAGTGAACAGAGGCTAGATCCTAGCTTTACTAACAATCTGTAAAACTTGCCTGGTATCTTTCAGTAAGTTTATAATTTCCAAATTTTTCTTTTTCTTTTGCCGCAATTAATTTCTTTTTATTATATCGTAATAAAAGAATAAATAACTTCAAAAAATATTTAAAAACAAATTTAAAAAACTATATCAAAATTATCTACCAAAAATTCAATAAATGATACAATCAAAATAATATACGAGCTTGTTGCTGTAACTATTGTGGCACGTGCTCCATTATTTCGGGTTGTTAATTGCTGAGAAATTGCGTTGCAAAGTACAACAAATATCTAAAAAATTGTTTAAAATCTTCTTTCGCCTAAAAGTTTTTTGGAAAAATTAGGTAACTTGTATTACAGTAATCAAAGATTTCGTGATAAAGATGGGGAGGGAGTTTGATTTGTGAGATAATTTTAGAAGCTTAATTTTCCATTAGAAGTATTAGATAATAAATACATTTTAATCCAAGGACCTTTGCCTACAAGAGATATATAATTTTAAAATCCAAAAATTAAGAAAAAATTTTTTTTACTCACCGCAATAGAAAACCAACAAATACTAAAAACTTTACTTTTTGATTTTTCATATTTTCTTGCAAATACAGTTGCCATAGTTCTCTCCAATAAAATTGTATGACTCAAAAATGTTCGAAAACAAACATTTGAATAAAAAAGAAAAACAGTTATCGGATTCTCAGATTCGTGCCAAAGAATAAATGGGCCAAATAAACGTATAGGGATTGCAATAAATAATTTAATGATAAAACGCATTAAATAGGCGCCACTTTGACATAGGAGAATAAATTTTAGATTCCAATGAATTAACTTTAAAAATGTGAGGAAATATTTAAAGTTACAAATAACTCTTCTCATAACCAGAGGTGGGTCGAAACAGTCGGAAGTGTCGGAAATCGGAACTGGCTCAAAAGTCGGAACTCGGAAATCGGAAATCGGTTGCTCATAACCTCTGCTCCCAACCCCTAATCGGTACATTACATTCCGGTTATTAACTACAAGGATTGTATTATATACAAAATAAAATCAACAACATTTAATAATCAACTGTCGAATATTCTCTTTGGAAGGGATTAAAATGGAAGTAAACTGATCTTGGAATTTTTAAAAATATTTCAACAAATTTTAATTGTTGGAATTTTATAAAAAAAGAACTTTAGGAAAAATAAAAATTTTCCTTACCGAAGTTCTACTAATTGCGTAAAAATTTAACGAAGAGATAGGCAATCCAATTAAATCTATAAATAATTCAAAAAGAACAATAGTGTAAGCTATTGTTAGACCAAGTTGGTCACCTTGTGAATTATTCATTTTATCCTAAAAATTAATTTAAATATTTATTTTTAGCTTAATAAAAGAGATCAAATTAAGAAAGTATTTTTTTGCAAAAAAAAACTTTAATAAAATAATAAAATAATCTAATAAATAATTAAATAAAATAAAATATTTTATGGGTGTGGCTGTGTTTTAGTGTAAAACTTAATTATCGAAATTCTATATAAATTCTAATTTAAATTAAATTTTGTAACAAAAAATTGTTTAATAAATAAATTTAATAAATAATTTTTAATCGAGTAATAAAATTTTTAATCGAATAATTTTTAACCCGGATCTGGCTCAAAATACCCTGATCAAAACCAACGGATCCCGAAAATCCGGTTGAGATCCGGTCCGGATTTTAACTCTACTATACATACATGCAAACGCAATCAAAGCCAAGCCAATATGTCTCCACTTTCTAATTCTTATTCTATTAACGACAAACGTCAAAAATTAATCGATCAAATAACTGCTTGTGATTTTAACAACACAGCAGCAATCGATTCCGACTCTTCTATTCCTGACTACGCAAAAATTTTAATTAAACAACTCGGTGGTCTTCTTCAGACAGCAGTGCAACTACTCAATGAACAACCATCAGCAAAAGACTACTACGAAGAAGAACGTCGACAACACACTATAGTCATCACAGGTCTTCCAGAATCTATTGACAACACTCCAACAAAACGTGCAGAAAATGACATCAAAACAGTTCATTCAATGCTCGATACAATTGGACTGGATAGTGAATTGCCGACCAATGTTTTCAGAATGGGAAAGAAGAAGGACGATGGGAGCAGGTTATTAAAAGTTGAATTTCCGACGAAGTATGCCACTAGATTTTTTTTGAAAAATAAACATAAGATTAAATCGATCCCAAGTTTTAAAAATGTCAATATCCGTGAGTCTTTATCACGGTCCCAACTTGACGCGCGCCATAAACTCATTGCGTCATGCAATGAGCAGCGCAAGGCAACAGGCAAGGATTTTGTTGTCTATGCGGGGATGGTTGTCCTTCGGGACACCATTCCTGCAATTAGACAACAAAGTTCCTAGTCTGTTGCCGGGGGAGCCACACCGTATTTAATTGACAAAAGCTATAGGATGTTATTAGATTTTTATAAGAATGTTTTTAGTCTTTTTAAAAATGTCTTTTTTCACCCTCCAGTTAATAACCTAAATCATAAAACTTTTCTAGATTCCAATAAATCTGTTACAGCCTATTTTATTAACTCTCGTTCAATTTGTAATAAACGTGATGAGCTATCTACTCTGCTTTTGAACTCTTCTCTTGATATTTTACTTATAGCCGAAACCTGGCTTCGAGACGCTGAACAAATTTCTTTTGACCCAGTAATAAATTCCAGGTTTACTTCCTTTACTTGTAATAGAAAAAATAGAATTGGTGGGGGCACTGCTATGTTAATCTGTAATGAGTTAAAACCTAGGCTTGTTTTTTCTGATTCTATTGGTGGTTGTGAAATATTAATAGTTAAAATCTCCTCCTTTAATATCTTCTGTATCTATCGCCCACCTAATATTGGAATATCTCATACTAAGCTGCTCTTCAAAACTCTAACTAGTAAAACAGATAAAAATTCCATTATTTGTGGTGATTTTAATTTTTCCAATAAGGACGTTATATGGACAAATTCTATCCCTTTACCTAAATCCGCAACTGGGGAACTTTTTGTCTCGTTTTTCAATAAAAACTGTCTTAAATTACACACTACTTCACCCACTCGCGGCCATTCATGGCTTGATCTTGTAATGTCTAATTGTAAAGACAGTATTACTAATTGCCAAACTTCTGATTCCATTCTCTCGTCTGACCATGCTGCTATTTGTTTCGATCTTTGTATTAATAAACCTAAGACTAAACAACCTATGATCTTTTGTAGAAAATATGACAAACCAAATACAAGGCTATTAAATATCTATTTGTCCTCTATATTACCATCTACTTCTACTAGCAATTATACTATAGAGGACAAATATAATTCTTTTATTTCCAACATTCTAACTGCTAGAGATCAATTTTTACCTGGCACATATATTTCTAAATTCACTCCTAGATATCCAGCCTCGCTTAAAGCTTCTATAAAAGAAAAAGCACGTCTCTGGAAAATTATCTCTAAAGGTAAATCTGATTTAATACCACGTTACAATAGTCTAAATCTTCATGTTAAAATCCAAATAAGAAAATTTTATGCAAAACTTGAAAAAAATTATATTGAAAAAGATCCACTCAATATCTTTAAATATATTAATAGACATTCTAAAAACAACAATACCATTCCATCCTTATTAGTAGATGGTGATTATGTTTATGATGACAAACACAAATGTGAAATATTTGCTGGATCGTTTTTTCTAGATTCTGATACTAACTTTATTATTCCCGAACTAATTAATATTAATCCAAAATTCATCGATGATATTGAAATTGATTCCAGTAAATTATTAAAATTGTTAAATTCACTCCCTAACAAGGAAGGTCTATCACCTGATTTTATATCCTATAGGTTCTTAAAGAATTGTTCTGTCTCTTTAGTTTCTTATATATCTGAACTTTTCAGAATTTCCCTTGACTCTGCTATACTTCCAAATATCTGGAAGGAATCTATAATAATTCCACTTTTTAAAAAAGGAAACAAGGAACTAGTTTCTAACTATCGTCCAATTTCTATTACTTGCTCACTATGCAGAGTAATGGAAAGATTTATCTTTAATGGAATCCTAGAATTTCTTTTAGAAAATAATATTATATCTCCTCATCAATTTGGATTTCTCCCAAGGAGATCCACTACTACACAACTGATCACTACCTTAGAAGATTGGTTCGATGGAATATTTTCTAATAAAAACATAGATTGCATCTATTTAGACCTTAGAAAAGCTTTTGATTCTATCCCACATGACTTACTTTTATATAAACTCTATAAAATTGGTGTTAGGGGTAAAATATACAATTGGATTAAAGAATTTTTAACAAATAGAAAATACCGTGTAAAAATTAATGATAGTTTTTCATCTTATTACAGTGCACCTTTGGGTGTACCACAAGGCTCTGTCCTTGGACCCTTATTATTTATCATTTATATAAACGATCTTCCAGATATTATTCCAAAAGGCATATCTGTTAAATTATTTGCTGATGATATTAAGATA